CCCTGGCACCGCCGCGGCCGCGGGGAGCGGCTCCGCAGCGTTGCGGTGTCGCCGCGGCCGCGCGGGAGCGGCGCTGGGCGCGGGGGACGCGGCGCCCGCACCCGAGAGCGGCCGGGTCGGCAGCGGGGCCGGGGGCCGTCCTGGCCGGGCGGCTCCTCTCCCGCCGGACCGTGCGGCAAAGGTCGGTGATCGGCGACGTGAACCCGCGGCACGGGGGCTGTGAGCCCTCGGTGTGCGGGTCCCCAGGGCGGGCTATGTCCCTGGCGGCGTCCGCAGCGCCCGAGGGGACCGCGACGCCTGCCTTCCGTGAGTCTGCAGGGGCAGCCCCGCCGAGCGAGGTTGCACGGCCGGAGAGCATTGGTGATGGCTTTGGAGAGCTTCTGATGGCCCACGCGAGCTTTGCGAGTGGAAGAGCTTGCGATGCCACCCATCTTTCAGAGGGGTTTTGGGGAATTGAAGAGTTTGGCAGTGCCACCCATTTTTCAGAGGGGCTTCCAGGGTGAAAAGTTTCTCAATGCCACCCAGCTTTCAGAGGGATTTTCAGGGGCTCCATTGTAAAGATAGGAAGATTTCTCCCCTGTGTGTCAACAAGTTTCTGAAGGGGAAACGAGTTCAACGCCATCTTAAACTATCTTAAGGATAGGTGGGCAAAGAGGGCAAAGAAAATGAATCAAATGACTTGGACAAAGAGTCTTTTCCATAGGACATAATTTCGGCCCTAGTCACGCACGTTTTATTCATTTTTTTGCTGGTGATTATTTGGAGAGCTTCCTTCGCATTATTGCTACTGCAGAGAAGTGCTGCTTTAAATACTTCATTAACTTGCTATCTGATGGGTCTCTTTCAGATGACTTTTCTGCATATTTGCATTTTGGCTGGAACATACCTATTTCAGTGCAAATTTGTTCAGGAGAGAATTATTATTTTGGAATTCTACCTAGCTATTTATAAGCTGTGATCAGAGCTATGCTTATGTATACGTGTGCAGGTTTTTTTGGTACATTCAGTATTTGAAAGAGATCCATTCTTTTTCACCTCTTTTGTAAGTGGAAAGGTTCTTGTGATACCATCTGTATACCAAATGCTAAGGGCTTGCTTTGAAAATGTGACCGTACAACTGGAGGAGTGTCTGTATGCTCCTGTGTTTGTGTGCGTACAATTGCATTTTCACATTCTCCTGTCGGGTGCCCTTCTATGAGCTGACATAATTCCTTCCCAGTTACAGAAGTGGTTAAGAAAACTTCACCTTGCATTATCTTCAGTGATTGTAGTTTGAAATGAAGTGTGTGATGTGATTCTATAGGTGGATCATTCTGAAATTAAATTTCTCTGGGAGCCACAAAGTCTGGCAGTACAGGAACTGTGGGGACAATAATGACCCCAATCCCCATAATACCCAATGGGAATTCACAGTGAGAGAGTGGCAAGCACACAGATGCCTCCTGTGTCCTTGGGCTTCTGGTATGCTGTAATTAACAGCCCAGAACTCAGGGGAGCTCTCCAGTATTGGCAAAGAGAGTCTTTTTAAGAATTCTGTGAGCTTTGAACTGAATTACATTTTACATATAGCTGTCTGCTGCATTTTCAGTATTTCTTTGAGGTGAAGTAGGGTACGCAAGAATAGTGAAACCCTTGTAAAGATGGAGTTGAATCATATGTTATTGTTTTACTACAGCTTGAGGAAAGTTTATAGTATACCTAGAGTCCACAAACCCTTCATAATTAAATTTGCATATTCATTTTTAAATACTCTGGGAAATTATTAATCTAGTTAGTTTGGAGGAACAATCTACCATTTATGAGCAGAAGAGTAGCGCATGATTTTGAAAGAAGTACATACCTTTAGGTTTTTCAGAAAAGTATGATGAATGAGGAGTGGAAATAACAAATGCAGCAAGCTGTGAAAATATGCTATGTAAGCTGTCCAGCTGTGCTAGAAAGTATCTGATATTCCTACACTATCATAAGGAATCATGATTTTTGCTCATCATTATCAAGCCATGTTCAACATCCAATTGAAATATGCTTATCCTTGCTAGTACCCTTACTAAGCTCAAAAGTTTTCCCAATTACTTCTTGTATGTATTTCTGACAAGAGACAGAAACAGAAAAAAAACCCTCCTTCAAGAGTAATGATTCTGTGTTATCTTTTAAGCTTTCAACCCTTTGCCTGTGGGTTACGTTCTCAAAAACATTGGAATTTCTTTTATAGCAGTGGGGGGGAGGGAATAATTTAAAGTTTATACACAAGGCATCTTGGGTGTCACACTTTTTTGGTGAAAACACCTGAATGCATTTTTCAAAGAAAACAAAACTCAAGGCTCACGAGGTTATTTTCCTTACCTTAGCAGACATTCTGTTTCAGACCACCAAACTGATGTGGAGGGATCTGTGACTATGAGAGTAGCAGCCTCACGCAGATACCTGCAAAAGGAGACATATCTTGCATCTTTTTACTCTGCTGGCCTTACTGAGCCCAAAGCAGCTGAGCTGACTAAAGCAGTTTGAAAAATCAACCTACTTCAAGTGCTTCTTCAGCCTTTCATATAGAAAGTTACATTGCTTCCAGTTTCTACAATCAAGTCAAAATAAACCAGAAATGTCCCTGAAATTTACTCACCCTGAAACCCATGTCCAAAGGGCAATTGGATACAGAGAGGTTAAGTCACACTTCACAGGATTCTCATGGAGTATCTATTTTTTGTCATTGCCTTGTCTCCAAGAGGTCACTGCCACAATACAGCCAAACCAGTCATGAAAGTAAAAGGCTGATTATGTATAAATACTTGCTCATTCATTAGTCTGTGTATCATCGCCTAATAGCTTGTAATGCTGGGCAATTCTTCAGCAAACAGCTTTTTTCTTACAGTGGAAACTAAAGTGTAGGTGATTTGCCTACATATGATGTGAGGCACTGAGCTGCAGTAGCACACTGTCCTAGAGCAGAGATCTTTTGACATTCTCAGAAATTATACACAAAAAGGTTGCAGTTCCTTTTTAATACTTATTTTGAAATTTATTAGACCATCATCTTTTTTTTTGTAGCAGTTCTGTGGTGGGGGAACGTGATTCTGAGGTATTCAGTTTGCCTAAATTTACAGGTTACTTCCTCCCCCTCCTCCAATAGAGTGTCTGAAGTGGGCTTTCTTCAACAGCACATGTGCACTGAAATTCTTCAGGTAGTCACAAGGAAGATGCGAGAAATGCAATATTTAGGTAGATACAGCCATCAGTCGCAGGAGATTGTGAATTGCAGGCATCCTTCCTTCAGCCTGGCATAGATCATGTTCGTCAGAGGTATGTCAGTGCGAGGCAGTGATGATCACTTGTGTGCTCTGCCATTAGCTTCCTCCTCCATTCTGTTCTTCACTTGTGGACGTGTTGCTCATGCTGTTCACCTCAGAAAGGGACCCTAGGTGCCATGGCCATGCAGACGGGAGCCGGGCGGGGCGGCGCAGGGGCGGCGGGAGCTGTCCGAGGTGGCTCAGGGGCAGCCCGCGGACCGGGCAGACGGAGAACTGGCAAAACGCGGAGCTGCAGCAAGCGGGGGTGTGAGGCAGGAGTAAAGTGACTGAGAAAGGGTGGAGGTCAGGTGTTCAGGCTGGAGCATGCCTGAATACTAGACTTTTCCACTGCTGAAATTAAGTTTATTCAGTTTCTGCAGCATCAGACCCTTTGCTTGTGTAGTTCCCATGTTGAAAGATTGAGGCTGGCATCAGACCTCCTTTTCTCCACGCATTTGAGAGTGAGATTAAAATATGCATTGTTCCTCTTGTAACACCAGCATTGAAGAAACTTTGAGTATTGTGACTTTGGTTTTTTCCAGGATTTGATGAGTGCAGCAGCCACTGGATCTTCTGGTTTGTGCTTTATGATACCACCCTAGCAGTTCATATGCCAAAAATTTATTCTCTTAAGTGTTAATGAAAGTTATTATTTTATATTATAATATTAAGTAGTAATATCTCCCTATAGGAATTTTTTTTTTTGTTCCCATGGAAGTCAGGTGTATTCACACCTGCTAAATGAAAGGCTGTGCTCCCTCTGTAATCAGACACAAGGAGATTTGACAGCTGCTTTTAAAAGTGGTAGTTCCGCATTACCTG